TGGTGTGTTTTTAATGACAGCTTTCCTAAAAATATATCCTATTCCTAAAATAAGAAATATCCCAATATATCGCCTTGCTTACAGTATCGCAACATATCATATTGCAACCCCTATATCGTGATACGTATAGTATCGCCAGATTCTTGCCAATACACAGCCCTAAATAATACGCAGCAAATTTTGAGTTTATTGAGGCAAAAGTCATAGTTAATGGTTGGTTAATAGTGAGAATACGGTATAGTAGAGTACAGAATAGTGTATATACAGTATAATTTGTTCAGTAAATTGCTGTACAATCTAAGTCTTTTTGAAGTAAGACTATTGATGCTCATTAACTTTTAAGCCTTGGTGAACATAAGACACTTCTTTCAAAAACATAAAAAAAATCTTACTGACCCCAAACATTTGAAACATAGTGTAACTTGCATAGATGTGTGGATTCACTTAAAGGGATCGTTCACCCAAAAATGAAAATTCTGCCATCATCAACCTCAATTTGTTCCAAACCTGTAGTAGTTTCTTTCTTCTGTTGAACATAAAATAAGATATTTTGAAGAATGTGGGTAACCTAACATTTGCTGGTCCCCATTGACTTTCATAGTGCATAAAAACTGTTTGGTTACCAACATTCTCCAAATATCTTCTCTCATGTTCAGCAAAGGAAAGAAATTCACACAGATATGGAACAACTTGAGGGTGAGTAAATGATGGCAGAAATGTCCTTTTCTGGTGAAGAATCCCGTAAATATTATAAATACTATAAAAAATACTATTGGAAATAGTGTGATGTTTGTATAATCACTCTTAGACTTCCATTGTAATTGTTTTCCATTCTTTTTACAAACTGGGTGATGAATCAAAACTATTTCCTTTAGTATTAGACTTTAAATTCTATTTACCCCAGAAAATTTATTGAACTGCAGACATAGAATTAGTGATTCATTTTCCTCCTATTCAATAGGAAAAAATTCTCTGTGTAAGTCACATGATTTGGTTCTCACACAGAAAAATAACCAATCATAAACTGAAAACAATAAAACAGCAGTAACTTTATCAAAGCAACATCCTCCTATAAATTAAATGCTCAAATACTTGTGAAACGAATCTGTTGCTTTGAGGTCAAGACATCATCTTCTTGGCTGTGAGAATGACATCCTGAAATGACATGTTCAGGCACGCAACCCTTGACCCCGAGGGGCATCTGCGACTCCTCATTAATGCAAACCCACAGCTGCGGAGTGACTGGCACACACACACGCACACACACATGTTCACAGACAGACAGACTGGCAGTCTCTGTAGAGGTGTGTGCGGACCCCTCCTCTGCCGTCTTATCCTCCCAATGGGGAACAGCAGAGCTATTTCCAGCATTGCAGCGCTTTAACAGCTCCCGGAGACTATGCCCAAAATAGCACACACAGGCTCACTACTGACACAGCATTCACACACAGAGCGAGAGAAGGAGAGGGAGGGAAAATGTGCAGAAGACAGGGTGAGACATGGACAGGAATATCAAGTGATCACCATAGAGAAGTGGGGAGCAGAGCTGTTGACTGCACATGCTCACTCTAGCGGTCTAAGTGAGCCTGCTTAAAGTGAACAAATGAAACTAATAGAGCAGAGCAAGGCTCATCGGCTTACAACCGAGCTGTAGAGCACTGCATCTTCTCTTGCCAGAGTTCAGGTATTGGCAGGTCACCCCAGCAGAAGTACTCCTGCCAGGTATCCACAGAGAAAGTAACATCAGACCTTATGCAACAGCCTGAATCCTGATTTCTATGAATGGAGTTGACTGACTAGAAATACGGGAGATCTATTAGATTATGGATTCCTTGTAAGTGGACTACAAGTCACCGGCCTGCTTAACCTGAGCCCTCGTGCTGCCCTCTTCTGTGTTTAAGAAATTCGTGGCTAGTAATAGTCTTACTCATTCTAGATTTGACGATCTAGGAAAGTTGGGGATTAATATACGTTAATATCCATGCAGGACAACTGGACAATGACACTTTGAGTATTTATAATGGTACTGAATGGTTTCAATATTCATATAGCACTCACATGGTAAAGTAAAGTGGGATCCAAATGTCTGATGCCATACTGATTTAATAAAACTTTTCTGATATTTTCTATGGAAAATTACTTATCATAACAATTTGAATTGAACAATCAACAAAACCTTCAGAATATATTTGGTTTGTGTGTAGTTTTGTATTATATGCATAAAAATCCATGTATGTTACTGTTACATGTATGTTGCATAACAAAATTGATGTGCACATTTAACATTGAGTAAAAAGTTCAATATAATAAATAGGTCACACTTGTCCAATTCTCTCCATTAACAAGCCATTAACTACGACTTTTGCCTCAATAAACTCCTAATTTGCTGTTTATTAATAGTTAGTAAGGTAGTTGTCAAGTTTAGGTATTGGGTAGGATTAAGGATGTAATATACTGTATGTGTCACGAATCCGGTCTATGAACTTCCGTTCACTCACCACCAGAGGTCACCCGCTCACTACATGGACTCTCACACTACACAGACTGTTACACTATACTCTGGACTACATTTCCCATCATCCATTGCACTGATTGCACACAGCTGTAACCAATCACACGCTCACCTGAACGCTATTACACACTATATAACACCCACTCAGATCCTGCTCAAGTCGCCGAGTATTGTCTTCATTTATCGCTCTCCAAGTGATAGCACTTTACGGAGCCATTTCCCTGTCTTAGTTTCTAGTTCATAGTTCATAGTTTAGTCTAGTCTTGCCTTGCCTTGCCTGTGTGAAGATCTTTGCCTGTGTATTACGGATTACCCCTTTTGTCTAGCACTCTGGATTCTGTTCATCTATCGAAGACCCACGCTTGTCCTTGGATTACTCTTTGTCTTGCCTGTGTTGTACCTGTTTGCCATTGTTTGACCCATGCCTGTTATGACCACGTCTCTTAATAAAAGCATGCACATGGATCCGTTCGCTTCACGTCTCTGTCGCCCCGTAACAATATGGTCATGCAGAATATGTGCTTTACAAGTACTAATAAACAGACAATATGTTAGGCATGCTAATAAGCAACTAGTTAATAGATATGTGCTTTACAAGTACTAATAAACAGACAATATGTTAGGCATGCTAATAAGCAACTAGGAACTGAGAACTGGTCCATATACTGAAGTGTTATCAATATATAATATATAATAATAAAATTTGACCCCTGAGGGGCATAACAGTTTGAGTGAAAAGTTAAACTACACAACCAACAAGAATTGAAGCGCTTGAGCTGCATGAAAAATCTGATGACCATGTTCTCCAGCATGATCCAATGAGCATCTTGAGTTTGAAAACAAAAACATCTGATCATTTGTACAGTCACATTACCAATTTCACTAATTTGATTATTTGATTAGTGATCTAGAAAGAGTGCAGAATCTAAAGTATTTATTATTCATTTGATGTCAGTATTTTTTATATTTATTCAATTTAAAAAATGCCAAACTTTTCTACTGATGAAATATTATCTTAAATAGATTTGAATCACAGATTTTCAATCTCTTTTTTAAACTTTATACTCCAACTCTACTGGTACAAGTGAACAATCATGTGACAGATGCTGGTGTGAACGAATTCTGGTAATTTTGGCCTTTTTCATTTTTCATTCACTCTGTGCTTATGAAGTAAATCTTGTGATGTTTCCTAGTCTCGCACACAAAATGCATACAAATCTGAATAGTGATTAAAAAAATGCAGTGTTTAGTACTTACTGTCCGCACTGCCATTTTGTGACCGAGAAAATCTTGTCTGTTTGTTCAGACAGTATCATCAATATCCAGAATTGGCTTTTTTATGCACTGATTTAAAACTAAAAAGCTAAACGAAAGAAAGAAAGAAGGAAAGCTCATATAGTCAGTCATCTCAGTGATGACAGGGCACTCTCATTTATAACCTTGTTTCAGGTAACTAATGCGGTGTCAGCGATTAGTGACTAATGCGGAGCTAGCTACATGTGGAGTGAATTGCTCAGGTGAGATTAAAGAAAACCCAGAATGACCTCAGCTTCTGAGAGCTTATGGATGCACTGACATTTATTGTCAAGACCCCTCATACAACGTTTTTACAGCCAGACGCAAACACCTGATATTATGCTTGCCATGGCAATGACATTCAAACGGCTGAAGACACCATTATCTATCAACAGGTCCTCAATGTTTCACATATTGAAGTGCTGCACATTATTCAAGAACGCAGAAACTGACCGTTGTTCTTCTTTGATAGCACGTAAACAAAGGCACATTGAGCCATTGAGCTCTCGTTGAGGCTTCCAGAAGGAAATGAGTTGTCTGCTCTTTGTGACTGGCAACATGCCACCACATAAACCTTATATTCTCTTATGCAACCTGAGGGTCAATCCATATGGAGCGCAAAGAATGAAAATCAGCTTTTAGAGAGACAGCCAAAAACTCTTCAACTAAATAAAGAAGGTCAAAACTTCATGTACAACCACAACAGACCTAAACAAAAACGTGTGATGGCAAACTCAATCTACTTCCTGCCTGTATCATTTCAAGAAGGACTCACCAAGCAAATTCAGTCCGTTTTTCCATAATTCCTGCCAAATGATGTCGGTAAAACAGGTATGAACACAGAAGACCACAGAAGTCTGGACAAAGAGTGACTGGCCCATTTTATTAAATTATCGTGGTTGTGCAGAGGGGGCGTGATACAGCTTTGGACTAACTTTGGTTTCATTCATCAGGTAATGAAGTTCTGGGTTCCTCTCTACTCAACCCCACAAGCCATCTGCTTTATCAGAGCCAGCTTTGTTCATCTATCCTTTGGTCACATTTTTGACTTGGATGAAGACTAAATGTAATTAAACTATTTCCTCAATAACAAACAGGCTAAAGTGGAATTTGGTTCTACTATATTAATCCATCATTCTTGACCTAAGAATTAAGACGTTCTAACAGCCACTGTGTAGTAAATAGATCTTACCTTTGCATGTGAAACATTTTATATGGAAGTGCTTGGATTGCACCCGGAGAACCTCTCCCTTGCATGGCTCCCCACACTTATAGCACTGGATAATCTGTTTTCCTGGTGGATGGTGTGGTTCCTGAGGATGGGCCACTGTCAAAGAACACAGAGACATGGATTAGCAAAGACTTCCATTTTGGAAGTAGACTACACGGTTACACAGATAAGGAAGATAGTATTATATCATTAATTAGCTTCAAACCCACAACAATATATTTAACAGCCGACATTAAGAAGTGTATAAACAATTGGTCTGTAGCTAACTAAAAGATAATAAATCTACTACAACCTATACTGTATAGCTGTACTACATAATTTGAATAACTAGTAATTTTATCATGACATTGAAATTGCAGGCCAGTTATGGTTTCTGACCACATTCAATAAATGTGTAAAAGCTAATGTTGACAAAATTCTGTCTCACACAGATCATGGTAACACTTTACAATGAGGTCCCATTTGGTTATGTTAGTTAATCCATTAACTAACTGTAAGAAATTAACTCATTTGTAATGGAATTAATTATTATTATTTCATTCAGGTTTTGAGAGGACTCGGATCTGAAGATTCGAAGTCAACCTGATTAGAACTGATTCCAAATTTGATAATTTACACCTTATCTACCGTTCGTCCAGCGAGACGTTAGCATCCGTGTATATTAACAGTTTTAATATCTGTATTCTCCCTGGCCACGGGTTAATACATGTTTTGATAAGTTATAAGCTACGAGCTAGGTAACAAGGATCTTTGGCAAGGTTTGACTTTAAAATTATACGACACCAGACAATGATTCTTTATAAATGAAAACAAAATTTATTGGCTATTCTAAATTACATTGACCTAAGCTAAGACATACACATACACACACACATACATACAGTCTCTGAAGAATGAAAATGATGTTAACGGAGTTCTGAGGAAAGCCCAAAGTTTTAGCAAGATATTCGCTACAGTTCTCTTACTTGTGACTTGAGAAAATCACAAAGCAGAGGTTTGTCTTATGTTTACTGCTTAAATTAGCTCGGCACCAGTAAAACTCTTTGCGAAGATTTGGTTGATACTTTTATAAAGTTTCCTACTGCGAGTATTGTACATACTTCTCACTTCTCCTTCATACCAAAGTTGCTCACATAAAATAACCTTCCATTCAAGCTCAAATAACAGGTATTTTGTATACACAATAATCGTAATAGCTAAAAGGACAAGTTATAATGCAAAGATTAAGATATCATGGTTTCAATAACACATCAAACAGAAAGCATATTATTTGGGAGTATATTGCTCCGATACTTTAAATTATTTTAAATGATTGTCTTATGAATTGTCTTTGTCTGTGACAGGAGAAACGCACGCTTTTCTGGAAAGTAGTAAAAGGATGCGTCCCCTTTTGGAATGCAGGGGGAAAAGGGGAGGTGTCCTGAGGTCATGCCCATGTCAAGCGAGTGTGGATCTGCCATCCTTCTGCTGGACAGGGAGCTCTAAAATTGTCTCTTTTGTTGACGGGATTATCAATTTATGTGTTAAACGGTCATGAGGTCCGGGCGAGTCTGTCGCTGGAACATTTCCAGATACCATGTCTTTGTTCTGTTGTTTATTAGCTGGTTTATTTATGCTGAAGCCGGTCACGAAACACACTGACATTCTGTTGCTTAAACGAGTCTAGATGGGGGGGGGGCTAGTTATTGCTGTCCTAATGCTTGTCGACCCTGGAGGTGGTTTGGTAAATCACTCTCTCCTGGTGTTTCTTGTACAGATAAGCAGAGCTGGACAGGAACTCATTTGAGACAATTGGCGCATGGCTGACCGTGATTCAGCTTTACGGCTCTCAGATGGCTGAGAAGAGATGTTAGTTTCCAGATGGAATGCGGAGATTCCCTCGTTCATTTGTGTGATGTTCGCAAATGCCTTACATAACATTAGCAATGAGCAATACATTTGTGACAGTGCTATTTTATCTTAGTTAATAAAAAGACATCTGTTCAATTTTAGCTCAGGTCCATTAAATAATGTTAAAAGATACCACTTTTGATTTTAACTAATGCATTAGTAAATATTGAAATGAACACTAATTAAATTAAATGCTTAAATAATTAAATAAATAAATTAAATGAATTTTAAATTAAAATACGGAGACATTTCTCAGAATATCTTTTGTGTGTGTGTGTGTATTTCACCAAAGGACAAAACTGAGGGTGAGAAAATGAAGACAGGATTTTCTTTTTAAAGGGGTCATATGATGCTTTTTTAAAGATCATTAATGCGCAAAACTCCGCATTTGAACAGTCAATAGCAAATACTTAAACTAGTAACAAAACATACTTACAGTCGCTGATTCAGAAGCGCCAGATTGTCATAGCAAAGTCAGAATTACCTCCTCTCCTAGGTTCATGAAACGGTCGTCCATAAAATGCATTGCTGTTCTGTTGTAAGTGATCTTAAAGATTCCTAAATGCATCTACTTTCGGAAGGCCAAATAAAGTGCTTTTGCTTTCGCCTAGAAACACACAGTGTCTCTCTGACATGGCTGCTTCAACACTAACTGCGGTTACTGAAACCACGCCTTCTTTCTTTGCGTGCACATTTGGGCGCATTATGCAAATATTCCCACATAGTGACCTAGATATGTGGGGGCATGTTAGAGTCTTTGGTTTTGAGACTTAAGTCTTTGCAACTTCAGGGATCTTATCTATTCACGAACAGCTTGTAACACTCCAAAGAGAAAGGAAAACTTGAAATCGCATCATATGACCCCTTTAACAATTTGAGAATCACTAAGAGTAGGCCTATTATAATTTAACCATTAGTTAAAATGCAAGTTTTTAAATGGTTTGTAATGTCCAACTACTTGCTGGCAAGGCAAATGGCACGGTTATATAAAACTGAAACTTAATTGTTTTTATAATTGGCTGCACTGTTCCTGCATTTAAGCACTGTTGCTATTTCCATAGCAATAAATATGCATGTAGATGCAAAACTAATAAACACAAGCCTGAACCTCAACTAGCCTTCATTACATAATGCTTGTAACTGGCTAGAAAGTGTTTCAATGGGCCAATGTCCGCACTTTGGGTGTTATCACACAGTGTGTGGGTGTAAGAGGAGTGTTAGTAGGTAAGGTTGTTTTTTGGAGTGATCAGAAGGACAAGCTGACTGCCACGCAGTGGTTATCACAGTCACACGGAGAGGTACTCACACTCGCTGACGCTGACACGAGTCATGTTGTTTACATATCTGTACTGCTCTTCACAAGTGTCATTTAGAGTCGGTACAGTTGCATAACGAAGGTCATGAGTCTTTTGTGCTTTGCCATTTACTAACTTCTGACATGTTAGCCTATGGACACAACAGCATAAAGAATAATTCACCCAAAATAATTGGGCGCACTATTCCTTTAAAACATAAACACCACTATAAACAGACATTAAAACTCAAGTACACTCTTCAGTTGTTTGTAATCTTGATAATTACATGCCCTGAAGGAGAGCAGACGTTCCACAGACAGAAATAATGGATGAGCTGTGTGCTGAGGCTCACAATACTTCAATCATTTTCTCTCGGTATCAGTGTTTGCGTGCTGTGTTTCACTTAAGGCTTTACTATGCCAGATTTGTTCAAGATCAGGCCAAGACAGTGTCCACTCAAAGCTGCTGTTCTAATCCTGGCGGCACTCAAAAGCTAAAGTTAATTCAAACGAAAAGAGCTCTGAACCTTTCAGAGTGGCTTCTCATTAGCGTGACTAGGAATCTTTCCTCTTACTCTCACTATCCTTCCTCCTTTTGACATTTACTGCTACTCTTGAAATCACAGGAACATGTACTCTCCGTCTCTCTCACTTCAGAATGACACTTCACTTTATATCTCCTGTTCTACTGGAGATTTAATGCATGCCTCTCTAATCTAATCGTTGGCCACTTAAACGGCTTGTGCAAGATTAACATAAAGAATCTCCCTCCCACCATCACTCGCTGCTCCTTATCAGGCCATGTGCTTAATATTGCCACCCAAAAGAGTCTCCACTATGTAATCTGCTCTGGGGGCCTGTTCAAATACTGCATGTCTCCTAATCATATATTGCATGGCATTTTTTTCCAAGAGGGTCTGGCTGCAGCTGGCGCTTGCACTCTCAGAAGCCTATATGTCTTGTTGTTGACTCAAAGTATATACAGAACAGCAACAGAACAGCAATTATGAACTTGCATTTTGAAATGCATTAGTGATTTTAAAAGGATCAACTCCGTACAGACAAGCAGATGAGCCCAGAACACAATGCATTAAATTGCACCTTAAAACTGTTCTGTAGCCACGGATTTGTGGGTCTTGTCTTTTTCTTGCAGGACCCTGTAGGTTACAGTACTAATTTAGTTGTAATCATTAAATCACCACCACAGCTTCTTGTCTCCATTGGCAACATGCATGATTTGTGTCGATTGCAAGTGACGTCGCAGGTGTCGGAGAGTGCAAGTGGTGATTGCAAGTGACTTCGTAATTTAGTTTCTTTTGTCTTGTCTTCACCACCTGGCTAATGTTGTAAAATGTTGAGAGATTCAAACAAAAAGTAATCAATAAATAGAACAAAATAAAAAATAAAAAAGACTGCAAGTGACGTCGCTAGCGGAAGTGCAAGTGTCTGAGAGTGCAAGCCTGAGAATGCACGTCTGAGAGTGCAAGTGCCAGCTGCAGCCAGACCCTTCTCTTTTTTTCCCCCGTCACTTATGCCTCATGACTTTAATTAAACTCCTATTAAATTAATTGAAACCCTGTTTTCAATAGCTAATACTAAATTTTTTACATTTATACATATAATTTTTTTTAATTATTTGAATGATTTTTTTAGAATAAGTACACATTTTTTTTTAAATGTCAAAAGATTTAAGCCTTGTGAACCTTAAGGCTCCCAGCTCATTTTAAATTCGACATAACAGAAAGTTGTGATCTATTCACTGAGTGAGTCTGATTCAAACCGTTAAATTCAAACCGCCACGCAATCTAAAGCCATGGTCATGCTAGAATTTGAGTGCGTCAAATTTCTACAGACAATATGAAGTCACACATTGTGATGTCTTTTTGAAAAAAAAACATAGTTCCACATAAAA